AGACAGAAATAAAAATGGTAGACCTGACTAATAAATATTGTGCATTGGAAAGAGAGTTTGGGGAATCTTGCCTGGAGAAGAGTCTTATGACAGAATCTTATAAGCTTGAATTGGATGAAATTAATCGTAAACATGAAGATGAGTTATGTAAGGTTTGGGAAGAGGTGAATGATAAGGGGAGAGAACTTGGCAGAATAAAGAATATAATGGAAGGGTCTGTGAAGGAGGCAGAAGAACGAGTGAGAGAAATAAGAGCTGCGGCAGAAGAGAAACTGGAAGAAGTTCAAATTGCTGCAGAGAAGAGGATGAGAGAGTTTGAAGTGGAAACTGCAGAGAAGATAAATGACTGTAGGACAAGAGTCGACGTGAAACTGAAAGACGCGGAGCTTCAAATGAACGTATACGCGCAGAAGGCGATGCAAGCGGAGGAGGAGTTGCGACATATGACACACCATCGCGATGAATTGAGAATCTCAAATATGGAGAACCAATTGACAGTTGTTGATATGCAAGACAAAATTGATACTCTTGTTACAGAACTTAACACTGCCAGGGAATCTTACGAAGCAGATTTAAATCAAGCTCGAAATGAACATGAAGTGACAAAAAAACAATGCAAGAAGTTAAAAATAGGAATAAGTAACATCCAGGCCTCCCTGGAAGCTCTCCAGATGAGGCTGCTGGAGAGTGAACATGATGTGGAACAATTAACAAATGCCACTCATCAAGTTCAGGCTCAGAAGGCGGCTCTTGAGGAACAAGTGAACATACTGACTCAGAAACTGGAAGACAGCAGACAGAGCATGAGTCAACTTGAAACAGATACTGTTAAGCAGATAGAAAATACCCACAAAGATCTTCTCTGCAAGTTAGAGGATTTTAAAGAAAAGGCAGATAAAAACATTGCTGCAAAAGAAGAGGAGATTTTAGAATACCGACATAAAACCAAGAAATTATCTGCAAGAATATTTGAACTAACTGAAACATTGTCTGCCATAGAAGAAACAAATACCGTACATGAGCGTGAAATAGAGGCTCTTACCGAGAAGCTAGATCATCAACGGGATTGCGCGAAGATAGCAACACAGCAAATAGCAACTCTGGAAGCTTCAAATGCTATCTATCAGCATCAGGTCCAGGCACTGACTGCAGAATTAGAATATCAGAAGGATTTCTCACAAAAGGCATCTGATCATATTGCAGGACTTGCTACTGCGAAGGCAAATCAAGATAAAGCAATCTGTAATCTTACCTCGGAACTTATGGCTGAAAGAGAGAAGATTTTGAAGTTACATGGTGAGATTGAAGAACCTACTACACTCATGAATTTTAACTCAGAGTCAAGTTCCGATCTTTTGTCAGTATTGAAGGAAAACTTTGAACATTACAAATCAGAATTGATGCATATAATTCAGACACAGATGACTGATATAAAAACAAAAGAATTTGACATAGACAAGAAAAACATTGATATTTGTAGAAAAAAGTGTGAAATCAAAAGCGCTACAGACAGGATTACAGAATTGGTTTCTGAGAATACAAAGAAAGAGGAGAAGATTGCAGATCATAATCAGAAAATCGAAGAATTATGCTCACAATTAAAGGAACTCAAAACATCTCTGCAAGCAGAACTGGATTCAGAATTGATGTTGAAACTAGCAGAGAAGGAAAAAGATTATCAGAGGTAATTATTATTTTTTTATGAAATCTGATTTATTAAACTCGATGTGCAATTCCATCTGTTTTCATGTCTGGCACAAACGTGTACATGAAAAGCAGCACATAATGGGGTAGAGATTCATTAGATAACTGTCATGTTGATGCTTAAGGAAATGGCAGCTTAAGTTTATTCCAAACGCTCGCCGATTGATCGCGTCAAAACATGGGTTCAATTTCCAATTGTTGTCGTGCGGCTAAAGTCATGCGATCGGCCATTATAAACGCGCCTTAAATGAGGCTATTCCTCTTCATCAGGATGAAATGCATTGCTTACCTGACGCTCTTGGTTTGCAGTTGAGGAGCGGAATGGGTTTTTATCTTAGGGTTTTATCCATGGGATTTCTCCCACAATATACCGTGGCCGTGACTGTCACCATTGTGTTTATTCTTGCAGTTATCTGTAATGAACATACATTTACTCAACTAAATTATCTTTCTCCTCATCTCGCCTATACCACGGTGGATTTATTTAAGTGTGCATCATATTTTTTAATAATTTTATTTTTACAAATTTTGTTATACTGAGTTTTTTCATACTGGGATAGAATTTTATTGCTTTAAAGTATAATTCCTTTACAGTTGTATTTGTTAAAGTGGGACATATTTACATAACGTAGTAAATTGGTGGGGGGTCCAGAAAATAATTTCTTTTTACAGAATCTTTCCTTACTCTGGCGTTAGTTAAAACACTTCACTGCTTTAATAAACCACACAGTGAGAAACCACAGAGAACCTTAAATCCTACTTAAACTGTAAAATGTCCATTATACATCACCGAACTTGTTTTTTTGCAGTTTAACTTTTTGTGAGTGTTTTTTTTTTTTTGCAGTTTAACTTTTTGTGAGCCTGAGTAAAATTAAATGTTCCATTCTGTGCTTAATATATGAAAATCTATATTATATAAAATCTGTTTTATGTTTGCTTTTATCCATTCTGTGCTTAATATATGAAAATCTGTTTGATGTTCGCTTTTACGTATGTTAGGTTGCGCTTAGAGGTCTAGACATTCTCAGTAATGGAGCTGAATGCCAAAATGTTCTGTTATGCAAGTGATGCTACCATTAGTCAGCATTTAGAATTTTAATCTTAAGTGACATTATTCAACATTGCTAATATTTTTATTGCTGTTTTAAGTTGAAAGGGATGTGAAAGGAATATAGGAGAAGATGGATGTCAATAAAGGTACAGAAGTGATGAAGGAAAAGGTAGAAAGACATGGTATGTGAGGGATGAAGCTTTGAAAATCATTCTTCATTAAATTTCAACACACCTTTTTCACTAGTGTAATATATAAAGAGTATGCAAATTGAATTGTCTGGTAGCACCAGGTGTCATTAAATTCATGTGGTGAGGCAAAGGTTTAAACTAATTAGCAGCATTGAACATGAAATTAGTTTATCTTTCAGTTTACTCAATAAAGCAAAAGATTGGGAAAAATGCTACAAGGAAATGGAGCTGCTCATCGGTCCATTCAGAGAGCAGCTGGAAGCATTTGATGCTGAACGGCAGGCGTTAGAACTACAAAAGGAAGTTGCAGAGAGTGAAATGAGAGAGCTGGGTCTCCGTTATGCAGAGATTCTTGGACATCAGAACCACAAGCAGAAGATAAAACATATGATCAAACTGAAGGATGAGATAAATGAATTGAAGAAGGTGGGATCATGTTGCATTGCTATAATTGTATATATAGTTTCTTGCATGGCCAACATGTAGCCATTATGTGAAAAAGGTGTTTGTAAAATGGTCACAAAGTGTAATCGCTTGTCCTTGTCATTATGCTGTCTGCTCCTTCCTTGGTGTTTTAAGACAGCACAACAATGATTCATTCATATGTGTTGAGATACCTAGGACTCCATTTTATTCTCTCACCTTGGCAAGCCTTCGTAACTAAGCTTTTGTACGCTGGACTCGAAACTTATGCTGACCGTAACAATGCTTCATAACTATTTCTGACATGTATTGTAAATAATTCAATTGCATGTTTCACGCTCAAATACTTCAGTACATGCTATATTTGATGATTTATGAAACTGGTGTCATGGAAAATATATTTGTTTACTTGCCATATTCAAAATGAAGTTTCTGTGAAAAACTATGGGGCTAATTCGGAACAAAAGACAGCATCCCCTTTGTCTTCTCGTCCCTCCAAAATTAAAATTTATCACGTGTTTATTAATTCAATGGTCATGCGTGTTGTATGTCTACAGATCATAAGGTGTATAGCAACAACAGAATGATTACTGTCAAGTACAATGTCTTACTGTTTGTTTCTAACTAACTAACTAGATGGCTTACCGAACCCGAAGGTTCATCACCGAATTAACCAAAGCCCTCCACCGGACCCTGTCCTGGGCCAACAAAATCCAGTCTCCTTCAACTCCTATCTCCCATAGATCCCGCCTGAGATTATCCTCCCATCTACGTCTAGGTCTCCCCAGCGGTCCCTTTCCCTCAGGCTTCCCAACCAGTACCCAGTGCACACCTCTTGTCCCATCCATGCGCGCTACATGCCCCACCCATCTCATTCTTCTCGACTTAATCACCCTGACAATACTGGGGGAGGTTCGTCATTATGCAGTTTTCTCCATGCCCCATTGTCTTCCCTCTTAGGCCCAAATATCCTCCTCAAACACCTGCAATCTGTGTTCCTCCCTCTGAGTGAGAGACCATGTTTCGCACCCATACAAAACAACAGGCAATATTATTGTTTTGTATACTTTAATTTTCAGGTATTGTTTGTTTCAGGGTTTATATTTGCTACTTTTCCTTTCAGACTCTGGCGAAGAATGTTTTTTTTTGGTCATTCAATTGTGATGATGGCATTTGTGAATTATACAGGGAATTATGCTTTCAATTTCATGACAAAATTGAGGCTGCATGCATTGTGTGATGAGATACTGTAAACAAAGATTTTTCATGTTTGCACAAGCTATTTAGTAGCAATGACAGCATTGTATACTACACTAGAGGATATTTACATTATTTGGACATAACACTGAACACTGTTTAAAGTGATGTGAACACTGAAGTATCTTATATTAGTGGGAACAAACAAAAATACTGTGTAAGGTGTGCCTAATTTTTATCCATCTTTCCCAAGTGAATGCTTTAAACCAGTGGTATTCAACCTGGGGTACGCGAAGACATCTTAGGGGGTACATGAAATTTAAAAAAAAAAATTATTTTATGATAAACACTGAATAATCAGTAATGTAATTTATTTAATTTATTTTAGATGTAGATTATATACTAAGTATAACTTGAATTATACACCAACAACTTTGGGGGTACAAAGTTGAAGAGAAATTATATCTGGGGGTACGCAAACAAAAAGGTTGAAATCCACTGCTTTAAACCACCATGCAGTCTCTATACTTGTTAAGCACAGGTGTTTGAGGTACATTTTAGAATCTGCTGACAAGTGTGAATTTTCTGCTTAGGAAAATGATAAACTGGATAGTCAGGTGCGGACCCAGAAGAGACTCATTGATAAGCTGAAAGACGAGCCGCGGTCTACTTCGGTTCGCAAGCCTGTTCTTCAGCAGCACAATCAGTCCAGCACAAGGGGCAAGGAAAATGTTGATCATAGTCCCATTAGGAAGTCCCCTGTTAGCAGCCCAAAGGTGAAGGCACTTCAGAAATATCGTTAAGGTTCTGAAACAGCAACTTTCATTTGTCAGTATGATTTCGTTACAGATCTTTTAATTCAAATGTTTCTTAATTTTTTTTTTGCATGATTAGTTTCCCTGAATCAAAACCACAGACTGGAAAGCTAACTCCATCAGTACGTCTCATAAATATGTTACATCAATCTGAAGCATTAAATAACTGTATAAGTTACCAAAGAAATTAAATCTCCAACCAAGGGCTGCACATCATCCAGAATTTCAGATGTGTTGTAGTTCATAATTAAATATAATGTCCTGGTCTAACCCACGGACTCTGACAATTTGACAGTTCTGAAGAATGTTTTAATATTTTGTTCATGTGACTCTCCAAGTATAGACAAGTTCCATATTTTTGCTAAAGGAGATTTACCCATGTCAAATTATGGTGAAATTTGTCCAGTGTTTGAGCTCATTAAATAAGCATTATACACAATTTGTCACAGTGTTATAAATAAGGTCAATTTAAATTGAAGTGCGTGTTATTTTTGAGTATGTTCAGAATTTTATCCTTGCATATGTATCAATTTGTGCCGTGTCTTCATAATATAATGCATGTGCACGGCACTAGGAGAACAGGCCCATCACAAAGGCCATTATGCTCATCCTCCAGATTAAATCAAGAAATCGTAGCGGGGCTGCAGTTTTCACATTTTTCATCGTTCCTTGGTAATTGTTTACGCATTATTTTCAATGACTGTGTTTCAAGTCAGGGCTGTTATAGTGCGACTTATATTCAGGCAAGGTTGCTTACGTAAATTAAGATACAAAAATTTAAATTGAGATATTTACACCCATAAAGGTATATAAAATCTTGTAAACAGTTTTGTTTGTGTGCATGATTTTATATATCAGTACAATGCACAGTGTGCGAGGTTTTAAGACCATAAAGGTATCTTTATTGCAGTGCACCATATACTTGCTTGCACTTGCTTTGAAGCAGTATCAGCTCAATTTTTATATTTTTTATGATCCCATTCTAAATGGCTTCACTATTTAAACTTGCTTTTATATCCTTCTGACAGTGATTTTAAGAATTATTCTTCTGTAATAAAGATTTGGTTCACATTTTACGAATAATTTTTGTCTAGGTTTTACAGTGGTTTATTCATAACTTGATGATATGCATTCCTTCATCGAATTATTGGTAATTCATTTGAAGTTGTATCATCTTAAGTGGTACTAGTTTTTTTATTCTGTCATTCAAAATGTTTTACCACGAAGATGATAATTGCTCAATATTGTAGAAACCTGTAGTAATAGTTATAAGAACTGTTCTCTTGTAGTACAAAAACAATATTTTTTTTTCAAATTGTGTAATGTCTGTGTGTAAGTTTTATTGAGGCATGCCAACATTATATTTCTATAAAGTGTTAGATACTTAGTATTTATTTTATTCATGCTTAACTATCACCTGTACATTGCAGCTTACACCTTATACAGCTGATCATGTGTCACTCTAGCCTGCAACGCAAATTCTGTGCAAATATCAATTGTATACTTAGAACCCAGCAATACTGAACTGAGCGAGCGGGTTTGTACTTTCCTTCCGAATAAATGCGCCAATAATCTAGTTTTCTTTTTGTGAACTGGAATTATCAGTGACCATCTCACTCGCCCACATCAGCACAGATGAATGACAATCAGTAGTTACTACTTTTATAACAGGAGTTAGCAGTATTGTTCTTCATTAGACCATTTATGGCAAAACACATGAACACAGCGTGATGGAGCACCACTGCACATCAGAATCATGGAACTTCCCAAATTTTAATGTACTCACAATGGCGGAAAACACGCAGTGGTCTAATTTCACGGCCACCACAGTCTCAGACGCCATTCTCATTTAATTTTATAAATTAGAATTCTGCAGAAGATCACAAAATGCCTGTCAGCAGGTCAGGAACATGTCTGATATTTATATACGCAGCCAGTATTACGTACATCGAGTTCAATGCTTGTGTAGAATGTCATGAAAATTAGTTCAAATATCTTTTGTTATGTCCAATAATTTGATACGCATAATACTTGATTGCCACTGTTGTCCACATTTTATATTCAAAGGGCCGTATGCCATTCGGAAGCATGCTGCCCTCCTCGTATACAGGAACATTTTATTTCAGTGTTAAGCCATAGAATTCACACTCTCATTTTGTAAACTTCTTACTAAAATATCCTGTATATTAGTGATGATGACGATAACTAAAATAACTGACTGATCTTACGAGGTGCGATCGGAAAGTTTCCAGACTGCGCCTATAAAAACCCGTACACTTATCTCAGGTATTAAATTCATCCATCTCCCTCAAAGTAGTTCCCCTGGGAGTGAACACAACGATCCCAGCGCCGCTGCCAAGCCTGGAAGCATCCCTGGAAATCTTTCTTT